GAGAGAGAGAGAGAGAGAGAGAGAGAGAGAATTTTAATATTTATTTTTTAATTATCGGCGGTCACAACATCTTTGTTTGTATGTGGTGCTGAGGATCGAACCTGGGCCGCATGCATGCCAGGCAAGCGTGCTACCACTTGAGCCACATCCCCAGCCCTGAGACTTGTTTCAAACTTGTGATCCTTCTACCTCAGCCTCCCAAGTCCCTGGGATTACAGGTCTACTGTGCCTGGTAGTAGACTCAATTTCTAACCCAGGTTCAGAACTTCAGATGAGAGGCTTTCAAATACAACGTTCCACATTTATCTTCATGTTTAGTTTCCAAGGAAACAGGATCCTGAGTTCTGTTGTTAGCTCAGGCCTGATGATAATCCTTTTACACATAGTCTGGTGTGCTTTGAGGCTGCCAAAACACTGCTTCTGGCCTTGGGATGTAGCTCAGTGGTATAGTGCTTGTCTAGAATGCCTAAGGCCCCAGGTTTGACCCCCAGTATTGCAAAGACCGAAACCAACAAACAAAAAAATTCTCCTGCTTTCAAATTTTACCTCCAGTCCGTCTTTCCCCCAAATCCTAAAATAATTCTCCTTCTTCCTGTGTTTGGTGACATGCCCCCATGATTCCTCTAGTGTGCAGTTTATAGCAGTAAGTTAATAAACTTTACTTTGTCAGGCAACAGGTGGTCTTTATCAGATGAACTTTATCTTGGGAACTTCTGATAACGTATACAAAATATGTTCACACCATCTGGTACCTACTAGAAAATGGTCAAATTATTCATATTATTAATGTATTTATTTAATAAATATTTTTTTGAAATCCACATTTGCAAAGCACAGATTTACTGCTATGAGAGATGTGAAATCACCTTTTTTTTTTTTTAATATGGTGAAAGAAAACAACAATTATATCTTCAATTCTCAGGAGAAAAATACCTTTACTGAACTTCACTTGTAGCTCAGTGGCATAGTGCTTGCTTAGCATGCATGAGGTCCTAAGTTCAATCACCAGCACACACATAAAAGAAGTGTCATATGTAAATTTTAAAAATCTCAAGATTATTTTACAGGGAAAAAAAGTACAATTTACATGATTTTCTATAGGATTTGAAAAAAACAAAACAAAACAAAAAAAACCCAAAACTATGGACTCTATAGAATTAGTAGGGTTTTAACAACAGAACAAGAGCCCCAAATGTCATCTGTCCCTCTCTGTGGAGGAAAAAAAAATGCACTCCAAGGAAAAAAAGCTGTAAGGCTGAACACGGGCTCATTCACACATTTTGGGCCCCTCCCACACAAGCAAGCTGCTTCCTCCATGCATTTTTCAGAGATTACAAAGCAGGCTCCAGTGCGGTTGGGTGGAGAACACAGGAAATCGCCAGTTCCCCTTCACTTCTCATTATCTGGATACTCCCAAAGCAAAATCCTATCCGTGTTTTTCCTTTTACCATACGCTCACAAAATGCAGTCTTCTATGGAAACATTGTGCTTTTACACTCCAAATTAAGGGAATTATTTTTAAGTTTTAGGAGTCCAATTCTTCTAGAAATCCTTGCTTTGGATACAGATGAACAGGCTATTTGCAAGAAATTTAGATAGAGAATGGATTTGGAAATAAGGGAATGAGTTTTAGGGAAGTAATGAGATAACAAGTCAGTTTAATGTTTGGGTTTTAGAGTCAAATTTCAATAAGGCGATTAACCTCTCTGTTTTAATTTTTCACCTGTAAAAGAAAATAATGTTTAGTTTTTGGAGTTACTTTATGACAACATTTTAAAAACCGACTGTCCATTATCTATTTTAAAGATAAATACAGAACATTGTCCCTTGCTATGAAAGTGCTTATCAACAAGTGAATCGCAGTGAGTTTTCACACACAGTACGTGCTCAACAAATATAATTATTATTTTATTGTTTAGATTAGAAGAGGGAAGGACAGGAGAAATGAAAGTGGTTTGAGAACCATAAAAGTGCTCTGCAAATACTACCAAAGTCGTAAAGGATGAAAGTAAAATGAGGAAAAGTTCGGGTTATGGTTTGGTTACGGATCTGTCTCAAAGTTGTTTAATTCTCCCATATTTGGGCCTGAATTCTCAGAATAGAACAGAATAGGATGTAAGGGCTGAGATCATCTGGTACAATTTTATGCCTCCTGTCACTACGCCCAGGCGAGAAATAACACCGCCACACAAGCTCCTCCAATCGGAGCCCCGACTATCTGATGTCATCGTTCCGCCCCACATCGCCACGCCTAGAGCACTCTAGCATCTATGCCACCATCTAGCGCTGGTTCCAGCAGCGCTTGCGCACTGCGAAGAGGGGCGGAGCGGACGCGTGCGCATTGCGTGTGGGCGGGGCTAGTGCGCACGCAGCCTCAGCCCCTTCCCCGCCCTTTCTCTTCCCGGTTTCCCTCTCAGACTGCGGGTACCTTTTGGTGGCTGCTTCCGGTAGGAACGCGGTGCAAGGCGAGCTGGTTTCAGTTCCTCGTCATGTCCTACGGTCCCTTAGACATGTACCGAAACCCGGGGCCCTCGGGGCCCCAGCTCCGGGACTTCAACAGCATCATCCAGACATGCAGCGGCAACATCCAGCGGATCAGCCAAGCCAGTGAGCCAGGGACCCAGCTGGGGGCGGGGGGGCGTCCTGGGGACAGGCCTGGGTGAGGTTGCCGCGACGCGGAGCCCGGCTGGGGCCACGACTAAGGCCACATCTGAGATGGTCTCGAGCTTCCCCTCTCGGGCCGGCGGACTGTCATCCCGGCGTCTATCTGGCCCGGGTCCCCCGAGGATCCCTAGCCCAAGATGAAGCTYTATAGTTTCTTTTCAGGAGTTCTATCCTCTCAGTGTTGGAATCAACACAACAGACCTAACAGCCTGAGGTTGGGAAGTGGGGTGTGTGTCACCGCGAGGGCAATGAGTGCCTTGACTTGGCGCAGTGGTCAGCCAAGTTTTTCCTGTCATCCCCTCCCCCCCTCCCCGCCCACCTCGCTTTCCTCTTTGGCCTGTTTTAATCAGGGATTGTTTACTGATTGAAGCTTTAGGATGAGCCACTGGCTCCTCGGAAATAAGCAACTTTCAATTAAGGGAAGTGGAGAGTGCATGTGTTTGAGTGACAATATACAGTCTTTCCTGTAATGAATTTGGAAGTCAGTCACAATGACTGGTAGTTGGGTGGTGGGTGACTTCTTTTTAATAAAGAGAATTCACTGGAAACATTTCTTTCAATTTATGTTATTTTGTTTTTTGTCATAAAGAATTTGTGTATTTGGGTTTCAAACAGATGAAAAGAGTAACCCTGCAGATCTACTCTTTTGAATAAATTTGATACACACAGAAGCTCAGGGACTTAGTCACAACCACACAGCAAGTAAGAAATGGTTTGGTTGTTGTTGGAATTAAGAATGTCATCGCGTATTTAAAAATACTCTCCTCACCATTAAGATCTTGAGTTAGTCTATAGCATAAGAGTCATATATAGGCTGTTTCTTGTGTTTGAAAATTATCTCAGAGCTTTAAAAAGAGGAGGTCTGCCACAGAAACTTTACTTGGAAAGAATGATGATCATCAACCTTGTTTATTATTGTGCTTTTTGATCTTGGCTGTACTCTGTTAATAGAACTAGTTGGACCTCAATTACAATTATTTTCTATATTTTAAAGAATAATCTACGACTTTGATTTTAGATTTACATGTATGTTGTAGAATTTGAGAGGTGGAAAGTTTCTGATGGGAAGGGATTGAACTGGATGATTTGGAAATGGAAAGAATGTATGGCCTGTTAAGTCCAGAAACTTAAAAAAATGACTGCTGGTTAGAAGGTATAGTACTTTGTGTTCCAATTTCTTTTTGTGAAGGAGCTGTAATACAGGTTAGCTCAGAAAATTCTGGTTCAAGGCTGAAATTTTTTTGTTGGACTAAATCTTTTTTTTAATGTCTATTTTGTGTAATATTCTGTAGTTTTTGAGTATCAAGCTATGGGAATCTGTTGAGAACATTAACAATCAAAATAAGGATGCTATAGAAAGGTTTTAAATAACAATAACATGTAGGTATTCAGGGGAGAGAGAGAGAGAGAGAGAGAGAGAGAGACCTTTTGAACCAGGTCTGGGACAATGGTAGAAAGAATTTAAACCTTTGAAGGTAAAGAGAAGAATAATAATTCAGGAATCAATAGCACGAACAGACATGGCAGTAGGAAAGCATAAGGTATATATAGAAAAGCAGAGTAATTTGGCTAGAATGATGAACTCCAGAAAGAAGTGGAAAGTAGATTGGAAAGGTAAGTTGGGGCACAAACAAAAAGGACATTAGGGACTTGGATATAATTCTTTAGGAATGTGTAAACTGAATTGGAAGTGAGAGAGACTGAAATCAGGGGTATCAATTTGAAAATGAAAAGGAAGGAAAAGATAGGAGAGGTTTCCTTGGTTATAAAATGGGTAAGATTTAGCTTTGATTTGGCTATGGGCTCAGGGGATTATTGATCAACCATTGATAATATTAAATAGCTTTTAAGTACATTCTATTTGCTAGGCAATATGAAAGGTGCTTTTTGGGTAGTATCTTACTTAATTTTATAACAGTTCTGTGAAACAGTTACCATTATTTTGGTATTATGGATTAGGAAACAAATTGAGAGGGTTAAATAATTTCACAACTAACAATTCAGATTTAGTTGAAATTCAAATTAAGACATTACCTTAATTTGAAACCAGGTCAGTCTCCGGTGACTAGCAGTTTACCTTTTTTTTTTTTTTTGTTATTGGGAGTTGAATCAAGGGTTTTTTTTTTTTTTTTTTTTTTTAACCACTGAGCTACTTCCCCATACTTAATTTTTTAAATTGACACAAGGTTTCATCAGGGCTTCCCTAAGTTGCTGAGCCTGGCCTGGAACTTGTGATCCTCCTGCCTCAGCCTCCTGAGATGCTGGGATCACAGGCATGGCCCTGCTAACAATATACCTTTTTATAATTTCTAAAGAGTATTACAGTTCTATAGCAGTTATCACTTTAAGTATACAAGTGACTTGCTTTTCAGTTCTCCAGAGGACACTCTGCAGGGGAATACCTGAAGTTGGGGTGCTGTATTTTCTTGTGATATGCCCCTCTCCTCTGCTAGATTGTTCTCTCTTTTGAGTCAGGGACATGACTTATTCAACTTTATATTTCTAGTACTTATTACATTCCCAGTATATGATATTCACTCATTCAATATACAACATATAATATATTTTAACTATATTTAGTATTTTATATATATATATATATATATATATATATATATATCTTCCACTGAGCTACATCTTCAGACAGGGTCTCACTAAGTTGCTCAGGCTGGCCTAAAATTTGTGACCCTGTTCCTTAAGTCTCCTGAGTAGCTGGAAGCAACAAATCTTCTCTAAGCCCCTGCTATGTCTTGGGGATAGAGCAATGAACAAGTGATAAATTCACTGCCCTGATATCATGTGTGTAGATATATGTACACACACACATATATACTCTTAAACATATAAATCGTATCAAGTAATAGTAAGTGCTATGAAGAAAAATAAAGCAGGGTAGAATAGAGAATGAAGGGAGAGGAAGGATGGGTATGCTATTTTAGGTAAGTTGGTCAAGGAAGGCGTCTCTCAGGAGATGGTACATTAGTTAGTAGATATCCCAATGAAATGAGGAAAGGAGCTTTGTGAGTAGTAGGGAAAGGCGTTCCAGGTGGACGACAAGGGTAAAGGCTTCGGTATGTTCAAAGAATAGCAAGGAAGCTAGTATGGCTGGACTACAGATAGAGAGGAGAGTGAAATAGGAAATTGGCCAGAGAGGTAGCCAGGGATCATATCATAGGGTCTTGAAGCTTAAAACTTATATTCAATTGATTTGAATTAATGAGGTTTTTCTACTATTTCAGAACTCTTCCTGCCTCTTTTCCCTTGTACTATGTGTTACCTATCATATCCCAAGTACCCTAGGCAGTTTGAGTCGAAATTCTTCCCTTGGGATTATTTGGTGAGGGACTGGGAATTTAAATTGGTTGGATGACATTGGGTATGCCCAGAAAGGCTGGTGCCTATCTTCCAAACCTCCTAGACATGGCCAGCATAATTCATGAAAAATGAAGTATGCAGACACATACCCATCAGCCCTGCAAGGACCTGTACCCATTGAAAATGTGAGAGAATAGCTGTTTTTTCCAAACTGTTCAACCACTTGTGTGGGTTTGGAATTGTTGAGCGCATCGTCCTGACATAGGGCAGCCTACCGCGTGGGTTATTACAGGTACAGCTAAGGTTGGCTGCCTGGTACAAACAGTTGTTATCAGTATGTGTGGGGTACAGAGGAAGAATACTTGACTGCTAATTGTGGAATGAAGGGCAGGTGTTGCTAAGGCAGATATGAGGGGGGAAAAAACCCCAGTGGCCTCAAAGTTAACTCTGAAATCAGACAGCATTTCTAATTTATTGTTCTATTTTGTTTACTGATAAATAGTTGAACTTTTAAATGTTCATGAAATTCTGTAGGTTCTTTCAAAGTTATTTCCATATTATTTCTCCCTTTTTATTTCATGGCCTTCTTAAGTCTTCATATTGTCAACATTTGAACTCCAGAAGCATATTTGGTGTGTCTGATTGTAGTCTCAGCCCGTTCTGATTCATTCTGGTGATGCTATTATCAGTATGTCTAAAATCTTCTCTTCATGGTACTCCTCACTTCCTCAAGAACCTTGGTGGATCTCTGTTATCTACTTCTTAGATCTTGACATTCCATCTTGTTTTCATTCTCTGTGGTCTCAACCCAAATCAGCCATATTTTCTACTCCTCTTCACTCTATGCTACAAGCAGTCTATTTTTCTTAACATCCTGAATTTTTTAAAAAATATATTTTTAGTTGTAGTTGGTCACAATGTCTTTATTTTATTCATTTATTTATTTTATGTAGTGCTGAGGACTGAACCCAGCTCCAAGTTTGCGCTAGGCGAGCACTCTACTCTGAGCCACAGCCCCTGAATTTTTTTCTCCCAGTTTTTGCTCATTTCATTCCTCCTTTCTTTTTTTTTTCTAGAGAGAGAGAGAGAGAAAGAGAATTTTAATATTTATTTTTAGTTTTCGGGGGACACAACATCTTTGTTTGTTTGTGGTGCTGAGGATCGAACCAGGGCCCCACGCATGCCAGGCGAGCTCGCTACCACTTGAGCCACATCCCCAGCCCCTGTTAATTTTTTTAAAGTATTTATTTTTTAGTTGTAGTTGGACACAATGCCTTTATTTTATTTATTTATTTTTATGTGATGCTGAGGATCGAACCCAGAGCTCCCCCATGCCAGGCGAGTGCTCTACCCCTGAGCTATAACCCCAGCCCTATACTATTTTTTTTGAGTCCCCCCTCCCCACTATAGTAGTTAGGTAAGCCCAGGGTCATAATGCCTTGGACTTGAGTTGTTCATATGCTTCTTACTAGCTGTATAAACACGTTGAATCACTTCTTTTATTCAGGTTTCTCATCTATAAACTGGAGCTAATAATACCTACTTTATACAGTTTTTGAGGATCAAATGAGAGAATTATGTAAAGCATTAAAACAGTGCGAGTGCCTGGCATGCGTGTGGCCCAGGTT